CTTAATATTCTTAGAAGCGCCAAACTACAAAACAGATTTCTCTGTATGAAGTGACCTACAGATTATGTAGCATAAAAGAACTACCAGTTCATTTTCAATTTAATCCAAAACTTACTTTAATATTGAAGTTATTATAGCAGGAACGTAAAGGTACTGAATCCATAAGTAAAATACCCAACGCCTCAACACATCGTAAGATCATTTCACAGTCAGGTAACTTAATAAATTATTATAAAACATTGTAAAATGAATATTAAATTTAAAAAATAAAAAATAGAATGGGTGTATATGGGGTTAGGGGAGTAAGAGGAGGATTATTTTGTGACCCTATAAAAACAAATAGTTAATAATTTTGATATTTGCCTACCTTACTGCCTGCTTGTGCTCATGCCTTTTGCTATGCCAACTTTTCTAAAATTCTATTGACGTAGACTGCTGTATCAGCCGTACGTTACTTAATCCAATCTGCTATCTCTTTGCTTCCGATAAGCTTTCTAGAACTGACTCATCTGTTTTGCTGTGTCGTTGGGAGCTGTTGCTAGTGAGGAATTATATGAATTTCCATGCGTTAATTATAGGTGATCAAAACAACTTATCTAGGCTAGGAAGATTATTTCCGGTTTTCCAAAAATCTGGCCTCGCTTGTACCGCACTATTGCTATCGGATAGTCAGAACAGTAAACCGGTGCCTGCAACCCCAGATTGCTTCATTACTCTGAGCCTAGTTTCTGTATTCGCTCAGTCGGAGCGAAAAAATCACATTTTGCACTTATAATAAGCGGCCAACTGAAGATTGAAGAATTGAAGGCAATAGAAGATTTTCGGCCGAAGATCCCAAAAATGATTAAAACGGGCAATATATACAAAAAATGCGGAAAGGCGCAAGAAGTCTCAAAGAGACTAATTACTTATTTGAACGATTCAATTGGCAATTGATATTATCCTCCTCAAAATGTTCGTCAGTTTCTATATAAAAGATCCAGACACATCGAAAATGGTTTCCTGAACCATTTCAATGAATTTCAGAGCCTTTTAAATTGAAATTTTATTAAGGATCACTGGCTTTATTACAAAAACGCTACTGCGCAGCCGAAAAACAGGTAATGTGGGACAATCTGCAGCACTAAAAACGTATATGTTTCGACCCCTAGATTAGGGTATGAAGCCTTGGAACTGCTTTGGCATTACTTCAAGATGTCCATTCTTCCCCGCCAACATCCGTCACAGTGGCCTGCTACGACGGCCATGAATACCTTTGAGATTGCTGCTTAGCATAGCCATAGACCTAGTCTTATTTTGAGCCGTGCCGGTGTTTTCGGCATATATCACGTCTGCCGGTAGGTATCATCCATAATGAGCATTTCCCTATGCGCCACCTGGGTACGCATCCTTTAGGATTTCGGTAACCTCTGTCCTCTGCGCCGTTGAGGCACCCTGCCTTATTCGCCAGTCGGGGCTCTTCGTAAATCTTACGGTTAACCTCCTCGAAACCTTTTTTGGATTTCCCAAAATCTACATAAAAATTCGCAACGCCGTAGACTGCCAATCTTAGCAAGAAAAGAAATTTCTAACTTCGCAAGTTTGCCCCGAGTAAACATGTTAAACAATAGTTAATTTTTACTAAAGTTTCGAAAACTACGCACTGATCTTCGCCCGGAGAGCAAATAGTCAATACTGAAATATATATACAATATATTATATATTCACATTAGTATAATTCTATGGCGGAGTGAGCACTGTAGCCTTTCTATACCATTGTAAAATAATTTATTTCAGGTTCGATTTATGTGAATAATAAAGCCAGGCCAACAAGTAAAGCAGGCGAGGCCGGATCCTTTCTTGTTTGCCGCCTGATCCTTTCCACAACTTGAATGTCCTTCGAAGAAGACGATTCGGCAAAGGCGTCACCACAAAGCTAGCGACTGACCTTAGCTCTGGCCAATTGCCTTTCTAGGGATGGCGAGTCTTTTGTAAAGAGACACGACACACTTCGGCCAATCTATCCCCTGGCTCTTAGAGCGGCAGCCAAATGCCTTCAATCGACAAAACGAAATGCAGTACAACCACCCACGAACGAAGACTACATTGCAAAATATTTTCCAGGTGGCTTCGGCGGTTGGCAAACATATGACGGCCCATGTTAGCATGTCATCGGGTCCATGAAAGTCTTCAGAGTTATAACGAGGTTGAGCATACCACCTCGCCATCAGGCCAACTGTCTCCCTTTCCGCAGCAAGCAAGCTGGCTAGACACCTGTCTTGAGGGCCTACTTACTTTATAAATTGGGGTCTGCCTGGTAAATCGGTGCATTTGTATGTGGAAGCGATAGAACCCGTATCCAAAGCATTGTGCCTGTTTATGTTGAATTCAGCCACTGATCACTAAGGTAGGCCTTTCGAGCACAACTACCAAGGGACATGCTGGAGATGAACCCTGGCCGAGATATCTGAATAAAAATGTACGGAAACTATCGCTACAAAAATCAAGAGAGAAGGTAAGCAGGCGATAGCGATGGTGTTTTGAGAAAACGGGTCAGAGGGCTTTGGTAGACGTCGTGACGAGGTTACGCAGAGCGAAAGCAATTTGCAGAGTTAGGCCTGTTAATGAGTTTCGCTAGGTAGAAAAGCGATATTGCGCGGTTGATATCTTCGTGCCGGATGGTCTGAAATCGTTTACGCTAGATCTGTCTAAGCCTGTTGGAGCTGCGTTCCGTTAACAATGACAGTGTATGGGACATATATCAAATAGAATATATCATTCTATAGTACTGGTTACCTCTGTTAGAGCTAGGTGCGAAAACATAAAGAAATGTGTGCTGTATGTGAAAATTGCTTGTAATGAGTATACTGCAAGGTTACTGGTGAAAAAGCATGCATGTAACTAGAAATGCTACGACTTGTAACGAGAAATCAATAGTAAGTAGCGCTTAAAAAAGTTATGTTTAGCGGAAACTTTTGTCGGCAATGCATCGAATGACATTGTTGCCTTTTTGGTCGCTAGCAGTTTTTTGCGTGACAACAGTTTTTTGTCGTAAACTGAAGTATAACCTAAAGCGGCTTATTTCTAGTACTGTAAATCGCTTGCAATCGAGTTTAATTATAATAACTGTTGTTTTCATTATTCTTTGTTTAAAGTCTAGAGAAAAAGATGGCAATGATGACGAAAATGTTATGTATCCTGTAAAACAGTTACTCAACTATTCACAGTTTTGGCGGCTATATAAGCCAAACATTTGAAGAGATCTGATGAGGTTTTACAGTTCACCTTCGACATACTTTGTTCGACGAGGTTACAGCTACTTGATAATCTGAAGTTAAAACTGCAGATGCTTAAATACTTCAGGATGTTTAAATTCATATTATAACAAATGCTGACACACGAAGCGATCGACGAGAAATCGGTTCATGATATTCAGAATTTCCGTAGGTGACGAAGCTAAGTATGTAGCACTCGGTTAAAGCTCGCTTAACGTTACGAAATTTAGTCCCTAAGGGCACATCCAAGCTAAAACTACAATACTGCGCCCATTCCACGATACTGTCCCGAATGTAGAAAATACATCATATACAGCGGGGTTCAGAGGGGCAAATGCACCAACAATAGAACGTAGATGAAGAGCTACTCAAACCATATTTGTTCACCGAAGAGGAATTATTATAGGAGATCGCGCAGGCCGTAGAACAGATGCGGTCGGTGTCGTATATTGATCGCCCATCGAACAACGACAGATGTACACGATTTTTCTGCAAACAACGTTACAAGAAACCAGCGCAAGTTTCAAGGAAAGATTATTCTTATAATAGAGCGTAGGCTTAACACAAATTAGGACTGTACTAGGACGAAAGGCAGTTGGGACGGACGTCCACTAACATACCTGTGTTGTTGACTGTGGAGATGTTTTACTAGAATGACAAATATTTATGGAAAACAGCGTTGCACAAGGTATAGTAGACAATATGCGTCCCAAAGTATGTGTTGTTCTATTACGAATCGTTTGAGATAGGCGGATGCGTATCGCCCTAGCAACTGGATGAGCCTTATAATTGACACTCTCGTGACATCTTATAAGGCTCAGTGTTAAATATTACTATTAGCGTATGATATAACAACGTACTGAAATAGCCCTGGTCGAATTATGGTGAAGAAACACTTCTTCCACAACGCGTCACCGTGAATGTTGTAACAGGCCAAGCAGACTGGTCAGAAAGGCTAAGCCAAGGAAAGGCCAAGGACACTTTCAGGAAACGGACAGCATACGGACGGATGCACAGTGGCTGATTTGCTGTCTCAGCGTATGCTCACGGGGGTTAAGTCAAGATGTGAAGCTTGTAGAAGTGCGGTAGCCAAATTCAGCCAAATGGGGTAACTTTGAAGCAGAAGTTGACGAAACCACAGAGCTGAACCGAGTCGTACAGGGACACGGCTTGATACAGCAGCATCGGCCTTTTGCTGCGGCATGATTTGCCGCTAGTGACAGCAGAGGTGATAGTAATGCCATCGACTTCCAGTAAACGGTTATTGGGTCGAGTGTATGAGGCGGCGCTGAAGCCGCGTATTGAACAGGGAATGTTCATCGCTGGCCTACCACGACTTGTAGTCATGGATACACCGAAAAGCAATCCGGAAATGATCCACGAATTGTACATTCTACTCTTCGTACATATTAAAGTTGAAAAAAAAGCGAACTCCCAGTGTATTTCGGTTCAAAGTTGGAAATGATTGATTATAATTGGCAACCGGTCATATCAATACTGACCAACAAGATTTGACAGGTCTATTTTTCTTAATAAATACCTATTTTTTTTCTGAGAAAATGTGTGTTTAGGGGGATTATTGGTTATAGTTCTGTTACAATGATTTTTTTGTGTCTAAGTATTTATGACAATCTGTTAAATGCTTTTCTGTTTCCAACGTACTGATTTATTTTCAATTTTAATTATATATATTTGAGAAACAAACGACGGCTTGGATAACAGCACTTTTATTTATTTTTTATTTAATCAGATATATTATTGCATTACCATATAATATACAGATATTAATGTATGGATATTAAAAGTAAAAGCGGGAAATAACAAGTTGTCATTCCGCAGCGTTACCCCTATATCGTTTTGTTGCTTCGTGCAATATCTTCTGCATTTGTTACCATGCTTGAAAAAATAGATTTTGGCAGCATCGGCACTGTATTGCTGATTCCAACTCAAATATACCTTGTGCAAAGGTCTTTATTGCTCCTCATGGTACGTTGTAAGTAGTGTTACTGATTTTAGAATACACCCTGCATTATGAGTGTACGCATCTGAGTGTATTTCAAGTCCCCGATGGAAAGCTCGATTCCAACGCGGCCATTGCTCACTTGGTCAAATCTAAATGAGAACGTATATTACGGCTTTGTACGACTTTCGCAACTGAAGTTAATTGTACTACGGTTTGGTTATTTCTAGGCAAAGCAACATATAAAAGTGAACATAAAATCATTCATATCACACACTGACTCAGACCATCTGAATCACTATTCCACACTTATTGCAGACCTTAGACGTTCACGACACAGCCTTCGTCTAAATACGCTTACTAATATTAAATACATACACGAAACGATGACACATAAACAGTTCTTGCAAGTAAGTATACATTTGTAGCTAATATATAACAATATAGTTGTAAGCCTCCTGTGATAAACTGAATTTAACTGAAAATCCTAAATGCAGTCAATGTGTGTAGATACAAATTCGTCTTTTCCTCCATAACTTACAATGTGTACTAGCATTATCTTGCTGACAGAGCAAAGGGCAACGCTGTTGACCTCGAACTACTTTTGTCATATAGTAAAGATGACATTTTAACAGAGATATCGTTAAAATCCACACAAGGTAATGATTAACTAAACTAGTATATGCTAGAGCTTACTGCTTCGAAGTTCTTCGCAGCGATCATTCGAAAAGTTAGTAGAATCTTCAGAAAGTTATAGCTTTTTGCCGTAAGATGACAGCATAAATATTGTAATTTACTTTGCTAGACAAATACTAAGGTAAATTTTTTACGGGCATGTCGTTTACAGATTTAAAAAAAAATCAAACATCCTCAATATTCAATTAATTTGCTAATACGAATACTTAAATGGCTTTACTATTGAAGCTCTCCCGGTTCTTTACAACTTTCACTTGTGATAACTTGACTTAAACGATACAATTGTGTTTCGATTAGAAGCCCCAAAAATGGGTATGTCATGTAAAAAAAAAGAGCTGAATTTGAAACATGGAAGCTTTGCTGAGATCTCTATTAGCTAACACATACAGGCTCATTTAGCAGTCACGCTTCCTCAGAAGTGGATTCTTATTGAACCTTAATCTCGAGAGTAGTGTATGTTTTAGGGCGAAAAAGATGTAATTTTTTACTTGGCTAGGGAGCCCTAGCTGTACATGCCACTCCCATTGAGTTGTTGAGCTTGGGAAGAGGCAAATAAGAAGTGTCGAAAGCCCCGTTTTTGCCACCCGATACACCCACTTTTCGAACTCCTCAAAAAAATTTGACTCATTACAAAGAGTTATTTGCTTCGACCAAACAAAACTTGCGCAATAGATAGCCGGGCAGAAGGATGAAGCTCTCCAGCGGTGTACGCCGCTACCTAATCATTGTTATACGATAAATTAGAAAAACAAGGAAATAAATAAAAATCGGCAGAACTTTATTAATAATACTCTATTAAGTTACTTACGTCCACTAAATTGAGCGTGGAAGGAATTATCAACAACGAAATACTAAATAAACTAGTCGTGAGCCATGTATGCGTCGTTTTTCAGTAACTGCTATTAGGGAGTTCCTAACATTCGCATTCCCATAACTGCCTAGGCGATTTAGTAAACTAAACATTCAAAGACAGCAATTCTTTAACGATTTTTAGTAATAATTACGTTTTGCGTCAACTAGTTTGTCAATTACGTGGCAGATTAAGTTCCAAAAAGGTGCTTAAGAGATTGCGTGTATCAGTCGACTATTAATAGAGGTTTAGGGAGTTAAATACGTAATTGTTCTTTGCAACGTATATCTATATATATGAGAGCCACCTATGTAATTGCGTTGATTCTGGGTTCTGTATTTCTAGCTTCCTTCGAACTAAGCATTGATTTAGGCATTGATTAAACAAATTAGAAGACGCCTTATTATGTTCAGCAAAATGCCCAACATTAAATTTTTTTTTTGCTATAACTGCTTATCGTATTCGTGCTGCGTGCTCTAGCTGTGCTACAGTGTTCTATTAGTGTTTTCCAAATAACCTAAACTCTCAACTGGGCTAGAGGAGCTACTATCCGGCTGCAAGGTCGAACTGCTCAGTCCAGTGATGTCGATTGTTGTGGCTGATCGTTGGACCATTGGGTAAGTTGTCTTCGTTGTAGTGACCGGCAGGGAGCTAGAAGGCTCGCGTAGGAGCTGGCTAACAGCAGTTAGATGTCCGTGCTTCGACGGAAGGATGTTCTGTTTGAGCATCCATCCCTTGACAATGTGGCCCATCTCGCGGCCCGCGTCCACGACAAAAGCGTGCCGAAACCCCTCAAGGCAGAAGCGTACATCGGAACGGGGAAACATTCGTCTCAACTGCATGGGAAACTCCCGAGGTGCCCAGTGGTCGTTAAGTCCATAATAAAACGTCAATTTGTCGAGATTTCTAGAAAGTGACCAGAAATAAAGGTTCAAGCTTGCGCTAGTTATTGATTTTAACCACTAACCCACACAGGATGTATTACGCCCCACTTATTCATGGTTATACTTCGTCGGTAAACTGTTCTATTAATCTCTTTTTCCCTCTCGTTCGACGTCAATTATCAGACTCGAAACATACAAGTAATGTATATGTTTTAACAACATTCGTGCAGTTGGTGAAGAAAGCAGGTCGGCTTTATAAATCGATAATTGTGAGTACTGCTGAATTAATTGTGCCGAATTGAACGGTGTTCTCTAGATCAATCATGATAATGAACTATTAGCAAGGAAATGATAACAGAAAAAAAAACCAAAGCTATATCAATGCTGGCAAATACATTAATGGTACTCTTTTTTAGGTATTATTCATAAGTGATCAGGCGGTCTTATGCAGTCGACAGCGCAACTCGGAGCTGAATTTACATATTTTCAAAATGGCGTCCAATAGTAACCTTGGGTAGCAGTAAAATGTCTTCTTAATTCCTCTTGTAGCTGCGACGTTGTTCAGTAGAAAAGCTCTGTGTTAGTTTTCCTAAAAGCCGGCTAGCATTAATAACATATAAAGGCTGTCTTAATGAACGGCAATGGAAATCTGCGGTAGATATTTGACAGTTTACCGCTGAGGTATAGGCTGGGAACAACATTTTGATATAAAATGTTACTATAAGGTGTATGCACATACTCTGAAATTACAGCTCAAAAACGAGGCTATGACGAGCCCGTTCTCTGTTGAAGATCTATCTTAAAGCTGGATTAAACATTGAAAGTGAGCCGACAGTCGAAAGGACGAATCACTCATAATATGGGTAATTAAATTACTCCATTATGAGTTGTGGCAGGTGCTAAGTCGAAGCGCGCAGACCACTGACCAAGATGTAAGGGAAAAGTCAAAACTTGTTTTTCTATTTGTTTTTAGCAGCCGACCCTTAAAATGAGCTGAAAGACAATACGTGACTTGCTTCACGACGTTTCATCACATCCAGTAGTTTACCAATATTTCTTTAGGGTATAACATAAATATGTGCTGCGTGTTTTACGGCAGGTGCTGCTAGTAAGTCTCGTGCGGTTTCGAATCTACACTACCTCATCGCCAGCTTAGAAGACTGATGCGAAGCTTACCTTGCTATCGCGTCGTCATCGCGTCTGCGAACCTTCTTGAAAATGTCCTGAGTCGTGTCGATAATGGCACGCATAACCGAGGGCGACGTGAGTGAAAGGATGTTTTGTACGAACGTTTCTTTTCCGGCGCCATAATGCATACGGACAGCGAGCTGGAAGACTCTTTTGAGGAGCATAGCAGGCACCATGTGGACAGAATAGACGAGTGCCATAAATGGCTGACGCAGATACGTCGCCAGAGCTTCAAGCATAGGGGCATTTATTCCTCTTGCAAGGCGCTCGATAGCGGGGAACAGAAGGTACGTGTGCACAATCTGCGAATGATCGTTACATATACGAATAGATGTCATATTTAATTAAGCGTCGTTAGTAGACCTGCAGGGTAGTGGATCCTATATCGCGGACTGGCAAGATGAGAGATCTTTCTAAACGGAGTGCTTCTACAAAGGTAATTCCAAGTTTTAGCAGAAAAAAATAAACAGTAACAGACAGACAGTTAACAGAGTAATATCTAGGCAAATATCAAATTAAACCTTTCGCAAGCTTTATAGCTGAAGGAGATCATAAGTGATTGCTGATTTGAGCGCAACAAATCATCCCACAAAACAAGTACCGTAACATGTTGAAGCACCTATATAGTAAATATAAACATCCTCTAGAGTTCGAAGATAAGTAATCTTCATAAAGGTAATATTAAAGTGCGTGTAAAAGACCACCAGATTTGTCTTTGTGATTGTATAATACCTACGTTGTGATCCTTAAGTTTATCAGTGATTTGCAGCGCCATATAGCTGCCGATTGAATGACCAATTAAGACCAGCGGAGTTTCTTTTGGTATAAATTTTTCGAGGAAACGCATTTTATGTTCCACTTCGCCTTCTGTCGAAAACCACCTGTCAATTGGGGAAATTTATCGGTCCGTATTAACTAATCAGTTTATCAGTATACGATTTACGTGTGGCCTAATTTTAGAAAGACCTTTTGTTCAAAACCACAGGATAGATCACAGCTTTAATTGTCGTAAGGTACACAAAAATTCAGCACTACTTGTATAAAAAAAGTAAACTTTTAGCTTCTCACAGCCTGTATAAAAAAAGATCTATAGAACGTTAACGCTATATATCGTACATTTAACAAGTGCATTGTGCAATGATGTATGAGTATAAAAAATAATAACAATAATATCTATATTTGCTACTTGATTATCACTGTTACGTGTTTCCTTAATTAGATCGATGATTCAAAGGAGTCCAGATTCAAAGAGCTTATCCTTATAACTTGGAACTTTGCCTATTTAAACTTATGGTGTTCGATCAAAATATATAAATGAAGGGTGTGAACTTGATACATTGGCCTAAAATATAAAAATTTTACGATCTCATCTGCCCACTTCATACTGTATTTTATTTTTAGCTAAAACCAGTTAAACTAATTTCGGATAAATTGGTATATTTCCTTACCTTTTAATACTTTTATATGGCTTTTGCATGTGCTTCGGCAGCACAACGTGTCCAGCATGCGATACGCCCCACACCTCGATGTTTTCTTCGTTGCCCGCGTAAATTTCTTTCATAAAATCTGCATAGAAGCCTATTGGGCCTGGGTTACCTTCAAAAACATTTTCCTACTATTAGGCCATTTAGCTATTAAGTTATTTCATGTGATAAAATGTACACTAACAATACGTCGTAACATCTTTGTCGATGAGAGTGTCTGCTTTAAAACGTGACATATATGACTAAGCCGATCCTTCTAAAATCTACCTATAAGAGAGTCAACGACGTTACATGCGACGAGACATATGCAGTCTCGATTATTCACTAATTGATGGTAAAGTTCGAAATCCTTGATGCTTCAGTGACACTGCGCTGAAAACGGGTAATTATGTTTAGGTCCGAAACCAAGCGTAGACACTTTTCGTTTTTCGCTAAAAGGACATGCCTGAAACCCTAAACACTTATAAAAACCTTTGGAAGCTAGATATATAGTCAATTGCATCAAATTATATATAAACTATATTTTAACAAAGCAGAAAATAGTAATTTAGTTCCTAGTGATGTTGATATATTCTTAATGGAAGTAGTAGTAGAAGACAAACGTGCAAGGCTTAATGAATGCCCTACTCTGCCGCAGAATCCCGTAATTATATAATAGATACACCACAAAGCTTATCTTGTACAGCCAATTAAAAACCTTAAATAAGAAAGATTCAGCCTTGCGTTCGTATGTAATGCATAAAAATGTTCCGAGTTTTCTATCCGGTGCTACTGCCGCTATGAATTGCTTTACACGGTCCAGTTTCAGTTTGAAACGTTGTGTCTACCTGCCTAGATGCAAATACGTTACCATGAAGATTAGCCTTTCCTATAAACAAATAGACGCTTAATTAGGAGTTCAAAAGTCGACAGCGAACAAAAAAAATTACCTGAAATCCTCCTTACAAATTATATATATTTTGTATTTTCCTTAGAGTTACATTTTGTAACAGTGAAACTATGATAACGTGAATAGAACAATAATGGAATCGTTTTTAGGATACGTTCATTTATTCCTTACTATTTATGGACATATATAGCATTTGATATTATATTGAAACACGCCTAATTGTTGAGTTGCCACTTCGATTATCGCTGGAGGATTAATATATAAATTAGGAAAATCTATTTATATCCACAGACTTACGTGCTGCATTTTGGACCTGCTAATGGCTTTAACACTATAATTAATAATACTGCTATTATATAACGAATGAAAGCTTCGATGGTACGCTTACACTATTGTTCGTCGGCTTGAGCACAGATGAAGGCCATTATCTGAATCGTCCGTAATTATAGCAAAGAGCTGGTAGGTATTTTCGGAACCGATATACACATGAGTGATGATGTAACGTTATGGTGGCGCCAGAATTTGAAAAATGTTTTTGCTGTCTATGGGGTCCGAGTACACCTCTCAAAATCTTGCTGTGGTGTTTCCAATTTCGCTAGATGATTTTTGATCTCTTTATGAGGAGTCTAACATAGAACTTTTACATGCTATACTTGCTTGGCCGCTGTCTGTAACGTATTCATTACAATTCAGTAAGATAGCATACATAGGTTGGTTGATGAAAATCCATCTGTACCTTTTTTTTTTGATCTAATGAGTGAACTTTATCAGACGACATTTTTTGTTTGTGATATATCCGGTATATCCGAGTGGGTTCCTTTCTTCATTTTCAAAAGTATCATCCTGAGTGCTCAGCTCCTTTTCTATCTGTGCTTACAGTACGGCAGTTAGAACAGATTTGTTGTTGGAATCAAGTGAATTGCGAAATAGAGGCACGATATTAAAGTACTTCGATGATTTCAACCGATAACAACAATAGGTTACAAAAGCTGATACGGTCTGTCAGTTAATTATTTGCCCATTCGAGTGATGGAGTGAACGGATACCATTCAGATAAAACGCAATGAGATAGATATAGAACTCCATCAACATGAGTGCCAATCTATTCTTGGCTATACAAGCCATTTTAGCGATATGTAGGAGCAAAACATATGCAATGAATTAATATGAAAGATCTATTACTTCTATGAAATAAATATGTCGATGATATCAATCTCTTAATGCCAAAAACAACTCGGTGTCAGCATTATTTGCCAAAGCGCACCCTCAACATAACGTATTTCCGTACACTATTTACATTTAATGCATAGAATAACACAAGAGATAACCTCTTCTTAGACGCACGTAACCATTTGCCATTAACTGAGTTACTCAGCGTGACCAAGACGCAATACATTGTCGCCGGACGGCGTGGTTGGAAAATACTCTTTTAGGCCCATTGACGTACACTCACCTGGTACTACGAACAGTATCATCTTAGTTCGTTTGGGCAGGTCCTGCCGTGCGTCTGCAGCTAGCTCAGAAACATTTTGCCTATCAGACGCGTACCGTAAAAGTTGTGTGGGACAATCATCGACCATTAGGTACGAGAAGGGTTCCTTTACCCCCCAGGCACCCTCAGCTAAAAGGCAAATCCAGAACAGTAATCCGAACAAGGAGATCGGCGGAAACGAGATTGGGGCTCGCAGTATGCACGGAAGCACGGCGAGAAATAAGCGAAAAACGAGAGTCGTGGGTTGGCGGCGATATTCTGCGTGCTGAACAGCACGTGCAAGCAGCATTCTTACGCTTTGCTGACTTCGGTGCTGGGTCGAGCTGGTGGCCAGAAGAGATGGCCATCCCGCCTCACGGTCACAGCCAGAGCGAAACAAACGGCGAATTTTTGTAGCCGTAGTTGTTGTGTTCGTATGCGATTTCTACGACGTCGTCTTCACTGGCGTCGTTATAAGGAAAGCTCCTCCGCGAAGCGTTTGGTCTAGCGTTGATTCGTAGTCGAAGCGTTTGGTGGAAAAGAAGTACAGTGAAAGAGATACGGTTGCATCTCACTATCACACGCGTGTGTTGTAGAATGACGCCACTTGGACGAACCTGCCTGTTGGTCTGCCTATCTTTCGGCAAGTTGTTGTGTGCTCGGCGCGTTAGATTCGCTTTCCTTTGGCTTCGTCGTTTTTCTCGACATGTTCATCGGCCGTGGCCGAAACCAAAAGAACTGGTAGTATTAGCATGATCAGCGCAATACATGCGCACGTATTTACGCGGCCACTAGGACAGCGTCATCGCATTGCTCTATTTCTTCGGAGCCTGCCGCGTATTTTGCTGTACCAGCTATTGCACAGCTGGTTTCGGAGAGGGCGTCGCTCGGCGATAGTTTCCCTGTGGTCATCACTAACGGAATAAAAAGTCTTGCAGAAAAACCTCTTAGCAAAAGTCACAACAACAAGACCAACAACAACAACGACACCAAAAAATGCGCGCTCTTTAATGTAGTACTACCACTACTAGTGACAGTTAATCAGTTTAGCGTGAAAGCGTATTGGCGACAGTCAACCGCTTTAGAGAAGGTGGCCTTCTCTGAAAAGAACCCGCTATACACACATGCACATGTGCACACAGGGACACGCCGATACACGTAACAGTGTCTCTACTGAACCGCTACTACAGCTACTGCTACTACAACGGCGATGATGGTCTACTGAGCGTATGCTTGTGGCTTGACGCTCAGCCAAATGCTGCCTGCCGCACAAAGTCTTCGGATCAGGCCATCTGGAAGAATGCCAAGAATGTTCCAGGGAATGGTATCTATCTTCCTTCTGCAGGTTTACCTTCTGCTTGATGCTGCATTTGTTGCTACAACTGTGAGTGATGTCGTCGTCGTCACCGTCGATGCTGGTTTCAGCAACTCCAATGGCTCCAACAGCCGGAACGGCAGCGGCAAGGGCGGTAGGGGCACGTGTCTCATCGAACAGAGCCAGCCAAGGCCCAGCAAAATTAGTGCGCTTCCTCCCTCCTCCCCTCCCCCTCCTCCGTCCTTCCTCCGCCCTTGTCTGTGCATCTAACAGCAATAGCTCGACATCTTCTCTTGTAAACTGTCGTTGAACAGACGTGGTAACCGGCAACCGCACAGAGCCTGATTCTTGCTTCATTTTATCCTTTGAGGATCGACTTGTTTAGACTTCGCTTTTACTATTTTGGATTTTTCCTCTCTTTCTTTCGTATTTTAGATAAATAGCTACTCGCTTTTACTGGACGATAGAGTAGTAATAATAACAACACAAAAAAGATCGCTCTGCACCGTTGTTGCCTGTTTTGTCGTTTGTCAGTTCGTTGCTTGTCGACTTTTTACATTATTTGCTTCTCAGACACACATGTATGAGGCATTTTTGCTGATTCTTAATATGGCTATCTAACAGCGAGGCTCATTTAGATGATTTGTTACAGCGTTTTGAGCGCTGGAACTATACGTTAGTCTATGGCTATGTATTTGTTTTATTATTTGTATGATTTTCTTGTTTAAGTGCGCTTCAGAACACCAACTGAAAAAAAACGTGTCAGTTTGATATGAGCGTGAGAGAAGTTTTAGTATATCCAGCCAAGTTGTTCCTGCTAATTTGTAATTTTTTGCTTCTAATGTATTTGTGTTTCTCTTTTGTGTAATAGTAACTTTCGAATAGCAGTTTGTCCTCGTTTGGCTACTGTGCTTATGATGTATCTTCTTCTGTCAGTTGTGCTCTCCTTTGTGTCTCGCAAATAAAAAGACTTCATTATGACGTACGGTCGAATATTAGAAGCAAATCAGAGGCGAGGATCAATCATTAAATTCGCCCTTTTTATATTCCTCGTCATCGTTCGCTTCTCTGATCAACAACGATTCCTCATGTTGCTGCTCATTTCCCGATCCTTTTTTTACCATTATCGCCATCTTCGCTCGACAACTGCCACCGCCATTACTGTCGACGCAAGCGGCCCAAATCACCGGAATCGGACGGGATTATTGGGTATCGCAGGTTTGGGGCGGAAGATTCAGATTCTACCAGAACGTTCGCTTTCCGATTTTGCCATTTGTTCGCCATTGATGTCAAACGATCAAAAGAGGACCACATCAGCTTTTGTTGGCAAGACAAGCAGTCAACCGTAGCATTTTCCCTACCCGTAATACGTTTACGGTACGGAAGACACTTTGTTTCGTGTTTTTTCTCGTACTGAAGTCAATGCAATGACGATGGATTTGGACAACAGCACTTGTGGAACAAACAAAATAGTCGACAATAGCCATTCAGCCCTCTCGGTTTGATGATTATCAGGAAATAGCAGAGTGCGGCAAATCAGCTGTGGTCTGTGAAACAGAGGAGGTCGAGGCAAATATTAGCTAAAATGCTGAACGGTCGCTTGTCGTTCACACGATGGCCAATAAACGGCCTTATCGAACTTCGCGCTTTTTACTTACCGAGCTCAAGTTTTGCACTCGACTGCGATGCTCGTTCAGGTCACTAAGTTCGGCAATATCTTAAACAATAGCTGTTTACTTGATCCATCACAAAATCATCTCTCTGAATTTACTGTCAATCACTATTTTTATCTATGGAAAAAAACATAAACTGACCGATTTCTGACTGACGTTAACGTTTTAAACGTGACGTTATAAACGATTTTCGTAGATAGATTTTTGCAAGATTTGAGGTTCAGCAGAAATGTTGCATATATGTATATACAGGAATTATGAAAGCTAGCGGCCCTATTACGAGTTCCAGTGTGGCAATACCTTTGAATCATTATGTGCTAGAATGAACGTATGTATCATTTTTCTACTAGCTTTTTGTCTTGTTAGTTCGTTTACAAACGATCATTCGCCTTGTAAGCACACAATGCGCTATTTCGTTGCTGCTGTCCAATAGAATGAACCAATTGTGCCATTGCAGTAGTTCATGGTGTTCGGTCAAGACGTCAACAATCGCCGCCAGTAACTTCATCTCCTTTATGATGCTTCTGCGTTGGAAGGCAGACGAACTGCGACTACCGTTGCTTGTGACGCCCGTATAACAATCTTCCTTTAGGTAAGAAAAGCTGAGAAAGGGTTTTATATCCCTAGGGGACTCTGGCAGTGAAACTTTAGCCTTTTCGTCGACATATTATTACTATTATCCCGTTATTATAAGTTACAGTTATTAATTTTGCTTTTCCCATTGTCATTGGGACGTTCGTTCGTCGAAGGTCATGACAGCGAACCGTGACGACACTGATACATGCAGGAGTGCACAGTAAGATGTTGATAAACAATACTGTAGAATAATGGGGAGATAGCCAATAACAGATTACCGGAGAAAATCCGTTCGTAACGCTGACTGCAAGGCAAGGCAAGACTGGGGCTCGATTTCTAATTTTCGTGCTAAATTGTTGCAACATCAAACCATTCTACATAGCGGATTCTATTAAACGCATCAGCGTGCTTTTCTTTGTTGGCTCGAGTTGTGTTCGGCCGCCTTTGTTTGGGCTTCTTTAATATTTTGAACGCAGACAATACGCCTCTACATCTGAATATTATGTATCTAGTTTATTCTTCTAGTAGACTACTACGCGACGTTATTACCTAGCGGTGTAAGGCATCAACTGAACAAAGCAGCAGGTCATGTATGATAATATACCCTCTGAAATGAATAGGTCGTCTGATATTAGGCGATAAAATGAAGGCTAATATTGCTGGCAATATAGCACAGAAGGCTGTCTGGCCTCTTCTGTGGCCTAACTGATCGGTCACTTAAGAAGCATATAAACTTGAACCGCTCGATGACAAGCCAGGTTTCATCGCAAAGCTCTAGCTTTTCATTGGTAACCACAAACCCATACTTTCGCCCCCGAACGCAGCTCACAAGAACCGAGGCAAACTTGTACTGATATTCGAACGAGGGCTAAACTGTAGTTCATTTTGCCGATGACCGCATAAAGCTTGCACTCTTTACTGGGAGATTATGTCATCCCATATGTTGATTTGTACGTATTATTCGAAACTCGCTGATAAACAAAGATGCACCCAGTGATGTGATTACTATTTACAGTGCTTTAGCATCGGGATTAGCACTAGAAGTTTTGGAAATTTAACACAATGAATTCGACTCCCCGCCAAAACGTCGGGAAAAGCTTGTGTTTTTGGCACAATAGTCGGTCTTCTAAAATTTCAGTGTCCCAAACGGGAAGTCTCAACTGGTTTGATGCGAGAGCGAGAATTGTTCGCCCCAGGCTTCATATTAAAATGGATGGCTGTGAGTGCGAGTGCCAGTGTGCGATCGCGCAAGCATGAACACTTAGACTTCAAGCTACGAAGTTGCTCCACTCCACCCTTTAAGAGGGCCTACTCGAGTGAGGGATACGTATGCATCGAGTTGATTTTTAGTTGTCGGTGGAGGGTTAGCCAGAAAGCTACCAGCATATGCGTAGCGGGCCAGAGAGCGCGTCATTTCTTTGTCCGTTTGCATGCTATCGTGCACCTCGTGAAACCCTATACAATACAAGCCCTCAGGGGCATCGTGTGCAACTGTTGCATAGCTATATGGCCACTAGATGTGAATGCGTCATGAGCTCGATAGGGATATACACACATACGGTTCTCACTGCTCTTCCTATATGTTTCTGTCAATTTTGTGCTGTCGCTCTCTTCCTTCGCGAAAGGTCGTGATTAACCTGCGACCAATTCTTTGTTGTGTACGCATTGGGGATTCGTCTAAGGATATTTTCCATAGTAACAGCGTTTTCAGCCCTCAGGCATCGCGACAATGAACTGTGGCACAGCGAAGAGTAGACAGAGTTAGCAAAGAAAGCTTTTTACTTCTTTGTGCAATCAGCGGTTGCTCATTGTCACTGGGTCTTTGCGACATTCAAAGTCTGAACTATTGTATTTTGTTGTTATCATCATCGTCGTCGTCGTCGTTGTTGTTGTCGCAGTTCTAGTTAAGTAGCTTGGGGCAACGTGGCATGAAGAAGACGGGGGCAAACAGTGCGAACGCTTACTGCCTATTAGGGACTAAGAAAGGGTGCAGAGATTAAGCGCGCGTTCTACCATGCGTATCAAATATATGCGCACATAAATTTCTCTCGAGCTACGATGAGCAAAATCATGCGCCAACATAAAAGGAAAGCGGAGCTGTACGCTTTTAGTACCAATGCAATTTGCTCTGTTCGTCATTTTGGCACGCCTCATAGCTAGGAGCGCTATGCCGCATCGCAGGATGCTTCCTTTTAGGTTGCGAGAGGACCAAATGATCCTATCTCGTCGCGTATATCTGTACTTCTTGTTATTGTTCGCTATGAAATCCCTATCCTAAAGCAGGATTTACTAGCTACGCTATTAATTGAATTAACGACGGTGGATGAAATTCTACTAAGCACCTATTTGTATAGTATCGCAATTACCAAAGTAGTAATTCTATTATTGATTGCCAATTATTTGTGTCTTGTAGGTGTTGTGTTTTTTTTCGAACAGTGAAGCCGTATTCGCAGTGTCAGTCGAGGTTTGTATTTGACGTAGTGAAGTGCGTTAAGTTGCGGGCCAACGTGACTAACTTATAAAAAGCCTACGGACAGCGAGCGAGATGCGCGCATTGAAACTTCAACAAATCGCTATGAACTCATAGCCTCCGATACACGTTTGTACCTATTTAGTCAAAACAAAAAGGTCCATCTAATCGTCGGACATCGAAAGCATTTATCGGGATCTAAAGCAGTGATCACGATAGTCACTAACAAGGCAGGTGTCAAGAAAAAGAACACAATAATTCTGCATTGCTTCAGAGAGGACTTTTAATCAATTGACCGTTTGCCGTATATGTGAGAAATAACATAGCTAAGGTTAGTAAGGAGAGTAAATCCATTGGATTCATCAATATATACATGAG